GAAATGGTGACATTGTGCCTTTTTGTTGTTCACATTTACTTGAACTGAAAATATGATTATTGTTAGGAAGCGACTTCATATTGCTGTTGAAATGCATGTTACTCAATCTTATTAATAAAATAACAATTAGTCTAAAATATCTTAACACCTAATTATAAGCAACATTTAAAATCAGCGGCAGGAATTTAGTTATAATATTTTAAAGTCAACTTTTATAGTAAAATTATGTGGCTTCTTAAATATAAATTAATTTTTTAAATTATTCTGCGTATAAAAATTGAAAAAAATAATAGAAAAACCCGTATTTCACAAGACAATTTNGCGTTACACATCATAAAAAATAGACATGGTTTGTTCGGAAAGTAATGTCAATGAGTCGATTAAAAAAATTTATTGAACTTTTTGTTATAACACATCAAAATTCTTCAAAATAGGCTCTTCCTGCGTTGACACATTGGCTCCAACGAGTTTTCCAGGCATCGAATGCGCCACGATAGGAATGTCCTTTAAAGCCGCTGCTTGGATCCCCTCAATGGTCCCAAAATGCTTTTCTTTCATGGGTCCTTTCAGGCGTGGAAACAGAAAGAAGTCGGTGGAGCGACGTCCGAACTGTACGGAGGCTACAGAATCGTTGGCATCCTTGCTTTGAACAGATAGTTAGTGACGAGGAAAGAGCTGTGGGCCGGCGCGTTGTCGTGATGCAACTTTCAGTCCTTTGCGATGTCCGGCCGGACGTGTTGAATAGTGCGTTTCAGTCTCTTCAGCACTCCGACGTAAAATTTAGCATTCACAGTTGTACCAGGTGGTACAAACTCGTGATGGACCATCCGGCGCGGGCTTCGTCGTCGACCTCTTTCCGGCCTTCCGAAAAAACCTTGTGTCACCGGAACACTTGCCGATCCGACAGGGCATCTTCTTTAAAAGCTGTCTTAATCATTGGAAGAGTTCTCGCCGCGGTCTTGTCGCCGCGGTCAAGTTTAACGCAAAACTTGATCGCCATCCTTTGTTCTAACTAGCGCTGCAATTTTACTTGCACGAGGTCACAAAACGACTTGCACGGAAACGCAGGTCCTTACTATACGGCTGGCGGGAGAAGACTGAGTGACTCAACATTCGTTATTTGACCCCCCTCTACCATTCCCAACCGATCCGAACGCGCTCTGACGGTAAGTCGCGTCAAAAAAATCACTGACATTACTTTCCGGACAAACCATGTATAATTGTTTAGTTAATGCACACTTTCATCCATTTGGTTTTCACTTTTCTTACTATCTTGTGTGTTATTTCAGCGAAGTGTAAGCGACAATAAAATAAACTAGAGAGAAAGAAAGAGAGAGAGAGAGAAAACAAATGTGGATGAGAAATAAGAAGAAACGGAGTCAGCGAAACAAAGAAAATTTGTATAATAAAATGACAATTAATAAAATTAATATAAATGCGAATTTGATTTGCATTATGTTCATATCGAAATCCATACATAAATGCCCATCGATATGTTTCGTTAGCATTCACGTTATAACAGTCCCTTTAACAGGATAAAGCATTCACCTGAGGTTTGTACTTGCTGTTAATAAGAAATGATATCAAATGGATAATTGAAATTATTATCAAATTTTATTTTAACAATTAGAAAGCTAGAAAAAGGATGACGTAATATTTTCGCATTCGTATTTATTAACGATATAAGCTTTTAATATATTTCTCAAATGCAAAATTTGTCAGCAATATAAAATTACAAGTTCATTTGATGCTCGTTTTGACCGTTATACTCATCCCGCCGGAAAAATTTGAAAATCCTCCTCCTTCCAGTTTAAATCAATTTATAATTATTTTAGCGAGCTTACCGTATGGAAAGCAGTAAACGGTTCAATCCATATGTCAGAGTCCCTCCAGAGGAAGAAATTATGATCTTTGGTATTTCAGAACGGTTTCCCAATTTTTATAATATGAAGCAACTACAAGAAAATTTTTGAACAAAATGGACCTAGGTTCCGATGATAGTCGACGATGGAGTAATGGTAATATACAACCACTATTCGCATCAAAATTCAAAAGAGAAAATATTAATCCTCTGCTGTCTCTTTTGAGAAATTCAATCGATTATATACTAAGTATAATAAAGTAAATGTCCGTAATTTTAACAGTTCATTACGATTTGCCTGCTCGATCGCGACTTATTAACCATAAACAGAAATTCGACGCGCAGTTTTTCAACATGACATCTTCGGAAGCGCACGCCAATGATCCTATGTGCAGGATGTTGCTTGAACACACATACGAAGCGATTATTGATGCCGGTGTAAATCTTAAAGAATTAAGAGGAACAAAAACCGGTGTCTTCATAGGATCATGTTCGACTGAGATAAAAAATATAATTATCTATTACAGGCCTCAAGTAACATATTTAATGATATTTAAAATATTTAAGGAAGATATTTCGGACGGTTGAATATTTCATAAACGAAGCATTTTATATGGTAATAACGTTACAAGTATAAGATGTATTTAAACAACTTTCACTTAAACTTTATCGGCGTTATTTAAACGGCTACGTAGCGGTAATATTCGGCCATCCTGGGATTTTTTATATACGCACGCAATACAGAGAAAAAGATGCTGGAATAAAATTTACATGATATCGCATCTTTATTTGTGATTAGGCAGATGGATACCCAATTGTTGGACGTAGTAAATACTGGTTAGCCAACAGCATTTCTAACTGGTTTGGCCTTAATGGACCATCTTATGCCTTGGATACGGCTTGCAGTTCAACCCACCACGCCATGGCGGAAGCTTACAGAATGATACGAAGTGGAAAATGCGACGCGGCTATCGTGGGGGGCACCAACATGTGTCTGCATCCCAACATTTCGCTTCAATTTTTTCAACTCGGTAAAGTTATACTTAAGAACCTGTTTGTTCATTTGCATCTAAACATTATAACGGTAAAAACTCTTGACATTGTTGTTATTATCAATCAATTCAACAATTTAAGATGTTCTCTCCAGTGATGGTTATTGCAAGCCATTTGATGATTCTGATACTGGTTATATGCGCAGTGAAGTTATAGCGATATTGTACCTCCAAAAGGCAAAGAATGCGAGACGAATCTGTGCTACTTACGTCTAAGCTAAAATCAACTGTGATGGCTTTAAGCATGAAGGCATTACATATCCCTCTTATCACATGCAGAAGGTGTTATTAGAAGAATTTTATGGTGATTGCGATGTTATACACGAAATGCTTCCCTACATGGAGGCCCGTGCAACTGGTACTGCAGTTGGAGATCCGGTAGAAATAGACGCTATCGATCAAGCATTATGCTTAAAAAGGTCCTTTATTAACGGGCTCAGTGAAATCAAATCTTAGCCATTCGAAGCCTGCCAGTGGTCTCTGTTAAGGAGCAAAGGTATATGAATATATTTGTTTTAACGGTGCCTTTAAAAATTAAACTACATGTATGTAATATTGTTTGAAACGTATTTTTAAATTTAATCAATGTATAGTTACGGTGCTGTTGTTTCTGTTATAATTAATATATCAAAACGGTTTGAAGGTGTTACTAGCGATAGAAACAGGTATAATCCCACCAACTATACACTTTAAAACACCGCGAAAAG